GGGTTGCATGCCATTGAGCCACCCATACATTGTACCCACTGTAGAAATATTTTTTTTAGACCAAAATAACTGCCAGGCTTAAAAGAATCATTGCTATGTGAACCACATGTCCACACATGACCGTATAATGTTACATACATAGTCATGTAATATCCTCTCAGCCTGAACTTTTGAAGGGCTACATCCAGGCCAAAATTGCTATCATTACAATTAAATAATTCTAGCTAGCTGTTTTTTTGTAGCTTTAATGTACTACGTCAGTTATGTTTGTTTCCACCTACAGGAAAAATAAATTTGAACATGTTCCAAATGGTCCTGTAGTGGTGCGGTTTTGAATGTTGTTCAGCATGTATTCTAGCTCTTCCAGATGGGATTCATGTAGCATCTAGATCATCATGTATGATGCTGTGTATGTGCTGAATTCTAAACTGCTTCAACAAACATAAGAGTTACTTAAATGCTTTTATCATGGGACCCTGAGGTAATGAAAACACTATCCATTGCATGGGCAGAAATGACCATATAGCAACAAATGCTGAGTGTAGGAATTTGGAAAACATTTCTATCAAAGAAGTTAATACCACTTCAATTCAAATAATATTTTTAAAATACTTTAAGTATGGTATAAAAATATTGCGAAAAAACAGAAGTGGTCAATATAGTAAAACTACATTCTCAGAGTTTTTACTGTTTATATTGAGATATTCACAGTATTTCCCTGCACTGCACTGCATTGGTATCTTGGCATTTTCAAAGTGTGTTTGCAAGCAATTATCATCACCATCATCTGCAGTTACTCATAATGAAACAAGCTTGATTAGTTCTCGAGAAAGATCTTTCCCCTTGCTCGCCAGTGTGATACCGCATTCCCTGGGTAATTGCCATCTGTGTGATCAGTTCCAGGTTATTTTCAATTAGTAAGCACCTCCATCTGCCCTAAAGCCACGCAAAAGAATTTTCAAGAATCTAATGAGCCCAATTTAACCAGTGTATTTTCTGGGTCTGTGTTAATCTTTGTCCAGATCAATTTGAGGCGATCTTCATGAAGCCATGAATGGTCTATACCAAAAGGAATGCATTTGTATTTTGTGCTGCACTACATTTTAAACAAGATGAGCTTTGTTCTTTGTGTAGCACTATGGGGAATAGAGAAAGTAAACAGTCTGCATATTTCCCATGTTTATGTAGGGTATTTTCACTCGGTGGTCACAGGTGTCATGGATTCCATACTTTTCATAGTGTCTGTGATTTTTGTTCAGGTTAAAACTTTTGTGAAATGTCAGTGGTATTCACTCCATTAATTTCTGATGTAAAGCTATTAATCAGTATCAGTGCTAATTTAAAACAAAATCAGTTTAATACAGTATTTCACAAATCAGCAAGACAAATTATATATGTTTTGGACTCGCTTACCTTTAAAGGCTGCTAAAATGAAACTAACCTTGTTAACCCCTTTAGTTTACCATCTGTCATGGAGGCTGTTGGCAGTTGACAAAATTACTTCAAAATTCAAATCAGCTTCAAATGACTAAGCTCAGCAATGGTTCATAACCTGTACAAAAGAAATTTGTGAGAGAAAGAAATTGGCAGGGACAGTGGTGTAGTTTTTGTCCATTACACATAATATTGCAAGGAATGTGAATTTTAGTTATCTTACTTTTTACTGTTCTAAAACACAGCTATGTAAAAAAAAGAAATGTATATTAATTATCCTCACCCTTTAACAGCTCTGCAAGTTTTATAGGCAACTTGAACCTCTCAACAACAATAGAGTGGTAATTAAGGCCATTTGAGTCAATGATTGATGTAATTATCCTACCTTCCATATTTCTATAGCACTTTTCTTGAAGAATTCCTAAGTGTTTTGTATATAGGAGAAACCAACTTCATCTACCACTGAAGTGCAGTACCCACCTGGATTACATCACAACTATTATGGGCCAGCAGTCCCACTGAACAGAAGATCAGGTGGAGAAGAGACTTAAATATTTAACCAGTTTAATTAACAGGGGATTTTAGGTAACCTAGATTGTATAAACCCAGAGTGGAATTTTGCTGTAAACTGGTGTTAATGCCCATATTCAAACCCAGCGGTTTAACTGCTGCTGTTAAGGGTGCAATGAGCCTATGTTTTTATGTATCAAATCATTAAATCTATTAAAATAAAAGGCAGAACATTTGTGAAGGCCAATTTCTGGCTTATTCAAATACTATAACTTTAAAGTGCTGTGTGTAAAAATATAGACTACAGATGAATGTGCAAGACATCAGATTGTATCATGTTTTGTTTATAGATTACATTTTTTTTTGGCATTAGCCTAACCGGTGATGTTTAAAGGTGATACCTCTGTTCCTGGTCACCATTTATTCATTGTATACCATTATTTTGTTGCAATCATCTACTATGCTCTTATGGTAAGATATGTCATAGGGCACTGTTATCGCTAGACTGACCTTGATAGTATTGGTGTTCAGTGACTTGACTGCAAAACTTACAAATGACTACAAAGGGACTTTATAACCTTCTCTGGTTCAAACTGCAGCCTTAGACATGCTATTTGCCAACTAATTGTACACTTTGGTTAACAGTCCTACACATAAAGATCTCCTAGGGATGAAGAGTTGTATAGCCTAATGGGCTTTTATTTGGTAAAGGTTCTTTGAACTTATCTAGGTCTTCCCTTAATTTTTTAAAATTTTAATTTAAGTTATTGTGTAACAGTTAAAAAACAAAGGCACTGGTTATTTTGTTATATGTAATATTAATGCCGATGCTGTCATCTATTTAGTCTTTCAAACAATAAATAAAAACAGCTGTTGAAGTGGTCAGATGGTATGTTTTCACAAGACTCCCGGGATTGAGGTTTTTTGGCTGCAGCTACCTGGCACACTTTAATTTGCCAGTAATACAGCTAATTCTGCGCTGTTCAGCAGGATTTTAGAGGATAAGAGGATACTGTCTGGATTATTTTAAGAGCATAGACTGATGGGGGGGAAAAAGGTATTTTTCTTTATCTGTTCAATATGGGTTATTTGTATAAAAACACACATGCTAATTAAAATAGCTGTCCTTTTCTGCAAAGTTAAGATGTATTCTTTGTAATTTGCATTTGTCTAGATTATGAAATCCATTAGTATAGATTCAGTTGTTTTAAGACTGTTGCAAGTCTTATTCTAATTATGGTTTTTCACACGATTTGGGGATTTGATATTTTCTTTTACTTTTAGGCTTATAAAAATATGCCTAAATTTGGAGTGCTTGTCGCATCAGTGTAGTTTTTATTATACTTTTTGGAACTCTTCAATACTGATTCACACATCATACAGAGCTGTGACATCTGGAAAGATGGGGTTTAAATGAGTAAAGTTTGGTTTTGTGAGTCATCTCTTTAAATTTAATGTGATAAAAAATCTTTTTCAGCCATTTAATGTTATTATTTCTTTTTGATCTTGGATTAATAGATACAGTAAATGCTTTATTTGAGGCCATTAGAAAAGTAGTTAATGAATGACCAGCTGTTTTTGACTCCCGTTTTAGTGTCACTGCCAGCTGTTAGACTTGTGTGTTTTTTTGTTTTTCTGCTGCCGCCTTGTTTTTCTTTAAATAATGGTCTGAATTAATATATTTTCTACTATTTAAGTTAAATAGTAGAATACATTAACATAAAATAGCTTCTTTCTTTCTTTATACAAAAAATCTGTAATATTTAAGTAAATATACATTTAAGTCCTAAATCCTCGGATCATTTTTCATGTAACATTATTCCTCATTCCTTGACCTCCCCTCCCTTTTTAATCTTCGCTTTGGAATGTTATACTTGAGTTGATCAATTTTACTGATTGTTTTCTCATTTTGCTATCTCGATCTTCCAGAATGTCTGCTGGTTTGAGCTCTTTACGATGGGTTATTCGTCTGATAATGCTTGCATAATTAGTCCTTTGCAAATTGATTAATGTGGAAATCTCTTGACTGCTTTAAAAAAGGGGCTGTTGTGATATTTTTGAGTTGTTGTTTTTTTTGCTGTAGTCAATTATACTGCATTGCATTTGTAAAAAAAAAAGATGGCTTTCTGTTCAGGAGCCAGCTAGGTGACTAAATAGGGAAAAAATATAGGACCATTCATATCTCCGGTGCTACTATTTTTATACTTCAGTTTGGCTCCTGGATTTGTCCATTATATATGATTTTAGATTAAATTGTTTGTCTTTATAATTGCCGTTTAAAACAGCTGATTTTTATAAGGAGTGTTTTTGACCTACAATGCCCTGTGATCAGTTTCATCTCCTAGTTTGCATCATTTTCAAAGATTTCATATTTGTGCATTTTCTTGCCTCTTCTGCTTATTCCCCAGGACAGTAAAGAGCCTCTAAAGGCAACAGCCGCACTAAATAAACCGCAGCGGGTTTACTGCTTCAACAGCACTTGTCAATGTTGAATAATGAGCTTTGCATTATTAGCCCTCTGTCAAGCTGGAGGCATCTATACTTTTTAATTAAGGAAAAAAAGAAACTTGCCAAGAATGACAAGGTGAACAGTTATTTCCTGTGTGGTATTTGCACATTAGGCATACTTGGGCAGAAGAACTCTTAATGGTCCTAGTTGATCATGTGCAGGACCTGGTTAGAGCATGGTGAACAATAGTGAGAAAAGAAAGAGTCCCGTTTTAATAAAAGCTCTTTGATGCATGTTTGGTTTGGCACAACAGCATAAGCTATATTTATCATCTAAATGGTAATTCCGGCTGATTAGTAAAAATGTAAGCCATTGGAGTGTTTTTAAATGTGTGTGTGTATATATATATATTTAACATTCTTGATAGTGGTTTTGTAATAGCAAGAAAATGCAAAACTAAAGTTGAAAAGTGTTTTGGAAGATATACTGTCTTGAAGTTGGAAAATTGGTTCTTCCAAGTATTCATTGGTGGGTTTGAAGCAGTTTTAGTTCACCTGCTATTTGCTGTGCCAAGAATAATCAGTATTCTTTTTTTTCTTTTTTTCAGGTGGATCCTTTGTTTACAGTGCCTGCACCCCCTCCACCAATTACTACAAGCATACAGCCACAGATTCTGCCTTCCTTCTTCCCTCCAACATCAAACATTTCTGCTCCCACTGAGCAACTATTAGTGAGGACTCGATCAGTGGGAGTTAACACTTGTGAGGTGGGAGTTGTAACTGAACCAGAATGCCTTGGACCTTGTGAACCTGGGACTAGCGTGAATCTGGAGGGCATTGTGTGGCACGAGACCGAAGAAGGTAAGTTTTCTCATCTTGTGAAGACACGTGCAAATTTTATTGCTGGGATGGATAATTCTTTCATGAAAATTTCCATTGTTGGTCTTCCCAATCTAATGTGTTGCTTACTGAATTGCATTGTAATTTGTGTACATTATACCCGTTATGTACTGTAGCTCTAAATTGAGAGACCAGGTGAAATTGCATGTTGGGAATATTTAGCTAAAGTGTAAAAAAATAAAGGGTTATACACAATTATACCTAATTGTTATTTGTGAACTACCTTAAAAATTGACCTAAGTGATCAGTCTTCAAATGTATATAGCATAGAAACGTGTTCCAATTGCATTTACAGGGAGTGGACAAAACAGTGGAAACACCAAGCAATATTTTGAATATTATTTTTAATTAAAAAGGAGATGGCCACCCTTTGCCTTCGGAACCTCTTCATTCCTTCTTGGAATACTGTTATACTAGTTTTGAACTCTCTTTCTAGTGGAATTATGGACCATTCTTCAAGAAACCAAGCTTCAAGTTCTTTAAGAGTCGAAGGAGGTGGAAATCTATCCCACACTCTGTTCCAGAATTTCCCATAAAGGTTCAGTGCTGTTGAGATCTTGTGATTGAGAATACCATGGTAGATGGAGAACAGGCAGTGTGGCTTGAAGGCTTTCTCCAAACATAAACCTGTTCATATTTTTCCAGATAGGAAAAAGAATTAAAGACAACTCATGAGACGTTACTTTCTTTCACTACTCAGAAGTCCAGGTGTGTTGGACTGGGTTAGAAATGGTTTCTGAATGGCAGCCCTGACGTAGATTCAGTTCTGTTGGAATTTCTGAGGCTGTTGTTTTGTGTCTTTTAGCAACTATCCTTAACAAGTGTGTGTTTATCCCTATTGGTAAGCTTTTACCTGCGACCACTGTTCTTCTTTTCTGATGCTATTTTCCCTTGTTTGCTGACACTGTTCCCATTGACACATTAAATAATGTTGCCTTTTCTGTGACAGATGTACCTGTGATCCGGGCCCGAACTATTTAAGCTCTTTCAGTGTCTGTTAGGTCTCATGTTTTAGAAACTTGCATTTTAAATTATTAGTTTGAAGACATCTCTTCTAGATTAATCATATTGGTCATTAGTATTGAAATTAATGTGAAACATGAGTAGAATCCTTTTTAATTGAGGTTTTTCATCAGGTGTTTCCATTATTTTGTCAAACCCTGTATGTGCTATTAAGACTATATATAACCTGTTCCTACACCTGTGATAGATCCTTACTAAATAATTTGGAATGCACTTATAAAGGGTATTTATCTTCTTTGTTGGTTCAGGACTGTTCGTGCTAGGATTTATCTTGCTCAAACAATTTGTTAGAGTTTAGTTGCATAATGCATGTTCACTAAGGGTATTATACCCAATTGTAAATAACTTGCTAGAGTTCTATGTCTTAAGATTATGGCAGTGATGGAGTGGGATCCAAAAAACTATTTAATATTGCGTTTGTGAATTTTTGCCAACATTGGTTTTTCTACCATCCTAGACTTCTAATCCTAGAAGTCTCTGTGTTGAGTACTGCTAAGCTGCTGTTTATTGAAATGTTTAACGAGCTTTGGAATGTGTGTGTGTGTGTGATGGGGCCTTATGTGGTAGAATGAAAGAACTTTCAGTGGCTTTTGGTTGTAGCTCATTGAGAACAAGCTGATCTCTTGACCCCAAAGCACATTTTCTGCCTGACTGGCAACATTGCCTAGCACTTGGATTGGTTTACAGTTTATAATATTTATCCATCTTTGTCCATCTTCTTTATGGATAACAGTAAATCATTAGTTTTGTTTTTAAAAGATGCAGCTCACAGTTTCGTTAACCCTAGACACTTTTTTTGCTCTGTGTTTTGCAAGTACTTTGAAATATGCAGCATGGGCTACTCAAAGCATGGAGATAATTCCTCCATGTTCACAAGACTTAATCTCTTCGAATAAAATATAAAAACGAGAAAAAGGGAAGTGATACATTATTGAAACATATGACAAATACTACAATCTGAGCATTTTAAAAATGTAATTCAGATTTAAAAAATCTAAGAACCCATTGTTATGATTGATATTAACTATCTTTACAATTGTTTGTGAGTGGCAATTGTGGATGTATAGCAACGCTACTGTATCTACTGTATATAAAAATGAATACTGGAAACTGTCTTCAGCTACTACAACCTCCCAATTTATTTATATCCCAAAGCAAAAGTACTAAGACATCATACATAGTGTCCTGCTAAAAAATAAACTCATATTGTAATCTAAATGTTACTGCCCCAAGCAAATGCATGTATGTCGTAAATAATTATAGTTCAGAAATCACAAGAGTCCCATTTATTCATACACAATATTAAAATAATATTTGTTTAATTGTTAATATTTTGTAAATTCTCCCCTGGAACATATTATGCATACAAAATGCCTCTTATAGTTTGCCAAGAGGTAGAAAGTGGTAGATTCAGATTTTGTAAATTGTTTAATTAGCCATTCCCCATCTTTTGAACGTCAATTACCATTTTCCTGTAGTTTTAGGAGAACTCTCCAAGTTTAACCACTTGTGTGGTACCTCCTTTCATACCCGAGGGATACCTTTGGTGTTAATAAAGTACTTCCAAAGAGCAGAATGTTATTGTTGATTTTAATGTAAAATAATACTTGGAGATATGTATGTGACCCTCATATTTCCAGGAATTAAGTAAATTTATGATAAGTACAAATTTGTTCTGTGCAGTGTTAAAATTATTTTGAGCAAAACACAATATGCAATCGATTAACTTATTGCATCATCTGAAATTTTTTTATCCTCTTTCATTCAGTAAGGGTTAATATGTGTGTATGTCACCATATACATGTTTCTTCAATACAATTTGCCTCAGGAAAGAATGGGGGCAGTTGGATGTTGATGGAATAAATGCATAAAAACTGTTGTCATGTTTAGACTGATCTATAATGTAGATTTAATCTTCCCTGATTGATTTTGATTTTTTTAACTACTTTACATCCACCATCCATTTTCAGATTTTTCTGTATAAACACAAAATGTGGAAAGTAATGTGCATACGTCATGTAGTTGTTAACAAGGTATTCTGAACTCTAAAAAGCATGGTGCCTACAGCATGCATTTTATCAAGCAGATCATGTCACATTTGAGACCTTTCTTCTTCTGCAGTAGCAGCTTACACAACTTGCTTAGGGAGCACTGGGCCACTGGGCAAATGCATGTGGAAGTTGTCACTCATAATGCATTACAGATTGCCTCAGGAGTTGAAATGAAAGGTGTTTTTTTTTTTTAGGTTTATACCCGTAATAAACATCTTGGTTTCCTATTGCTTTGCTTTATGACAAAACTCTTAAATTGGTTATACTGACAAAAACGTAATTGTACAAAGCACAGCTATACTTTGACATGTTTAAGAAGCAAAACCCTGGGCTCTGGTGTCTTTTGTTGTCTAGAAACAGCTGCCGTTTTAGCCTTCTGTTTTATGCCTGTCCTTGTATTCATTGTGTCCCGCCTCACGTGCTCAGATTGACATTATTATTAATGCCACATTAGTGTAATTTGCTCATATGATTGCATTATAGCTAAATGAGCGGTGATGTGAAAATGGTAAGCTCTCTGTTTATAGCACAGGGTTTAAATCCTCAGCTAGCTGCTGCTGAGACAGAATACTTGATGAATTAGTGCAGAAAATTGAGCCCTTTTCTCCACCATTGAAATGCCCCACATCCCTCACCTGCCTTTTTTGGTAATGCAATTGTGCAACCTTAAGGCATACATAAAGTACAGATAATTAAATCTCTTTTTTCCCCAATCATTATGTGAAATGCAGTTTTAGACAGAAAAAAGTAAAAGAAATACAACATCTCACCCTTTGTTGACTCATTTTTCTTTATCCGACAGCTACACTGTCACATTTTAAGATTACACATTTACAGTAATGATTTGAACTGAAGCCAGTGTACTGCTCTTAAATGAGGTAAGAAATGCCTTCATTCAAATGCAGGATGTAGATTGGAGTGTAAGCCTTGGCGAGCCAGGCATAGTTTGATGAATAAAGGGACTGACAGTGCTATGTGTGAATCTGCATGAAACGCAGCAATCCTACATTACAAACATCCTCCCAGCAGAACAGAGTGCTATTTTGGGTCCCGAGAGCTTCTTTCAACATGCACAGTAGAGTTATTCGTTGTGTAAATAAATATTGGCAAACTGAGGAGGAGGTGGTTTTGACTGAAGCACACTGCACAAGTGCTTGCAGAATTTGAAGCAGTTTGCTGCAGTGAAGACGGGGGGAGGGGCACTGCTGGGAACATATTGTACAGTGTGCATGTGCAACTTTAGATTTTTCTACAGCAAAGCTCATAATGTTTAGAGGCACAATGTATTAGTCAAATCTGCCATTACTTTGGGTGCTTTTTATGGAAGCATTTAACAGTAATGTAAAAGGAGGAGACAGATGATGTTATTAGCTGCAATATTATTTTATCACAGTCACAGTTTTTTCAAGAGAAATCACTAGCTAGTACAGTAATAGATTCAGTTTTTTTTTTTAACCAAAAGCTCATTTTTGGAAATCCCCTTCTTTGTGTTTTAGTTTCCAAAACAAGTAAATAAGAGAATACATTGGGACCCCTGACTACATGTACCCTTACATAGCTAAATTAAAAAAGGTAAAACAAAGGCTCATGAAAACGCGGCTTAAATAAAAACAACTGTGAATATGAAGGGGTGGAATGGCCCCAGGCTCAGCGTTTGCCTTCGATATAAAGTAGAAGACTTTGTTTTAATGGATACAGCAGTATTTTAATTAACTTCAGTGTTGCTACGGTAACCTTTTTCAGTTGCTTTCAAACTAAAATATGGAGTACAAAGCCACAGCAGTAAAAGCAAGTATTTTTTCTTATGAATTTAAATAATGTCTGTAGTTTTTAAATAAATTACAAATTTGCTAGTTCGGTATTTGTATTCAGACTTCTTTATCCATA